TAATCCCAGCACTTTGGGAGGCCAAGGTGAGAGGATTGCCTGAGCCCGTGGGTTCGAGACGCGCCTGGGGAAATTGGTGAAACCTCATCTCTACAATAAATCAAAAATTAGCTGGGTGTGCTACCGCACGCCTGTAGTTCCGACTACCTGAAAGGCGGAAGGATCGCCATAGCCCAGCAGGTCGAGGCTGCGGTAGCCAGGAGCGTGCCACTGCCCTCCAGCCTGGGTGTCAGAGTGAGACTCCAAATCAAAAATAAATAAATAAATAAAAATCGAGTCCAAAGACAAACTCAAATCCAGAACAAACCATAACTGATTTGCTAAATCAGGAAACAAATCAGAAGCAAATATTTCGCTTAAGGGAACAGCAAATATTTTCTCAAAAAGTATCAAGCCAATGCAAGATAGAAATGATATATGCAAATTTCTTTAAAACACTGAATGTGACAAATACACAATCTCTAACTTGTGCCTAGCTGCCAATTCAACATCCCATTCAAAATAGAGATACTACCTACCTATAATCATTATAAGAAATATAATGAGTTGAACTTAATAAACCAAATATAACCAAACTTTACCCACCTGATTTCTATCTTGCCCAGACCCCAGTTTGTCTTCATCTGACTCCTAATACTATCTTCCTATAATTTAAGTCCAATTCTTAGCACCGAGTCCCATATCTCTACTGCCATACATCCTTAACCTGTTCACTGCCTACATGCCTTACCTAAGCCCAAATGTTACCATGCAATTCTAGAACTTAGACAATAAAGTTGAAAAAAATTAAAACTGAAAAAAATTAAAAGTATCCTATGTCATCCATTCCTAGGATATTGTCTCTAGAAAATTATCTGTAGGAAAATTATCTGTAGGATAAGACTCCCACCTCTCACTGCAAGCAAAAACATAAAGGTGACACATCTGTCCCTACCAGTCTTCTTGACGGTTTTATGAGGACTCCAGTCAATGCTGACATGTGTGTTGAAGTCTTCAATAAGCTGCATAGCTGCCATTAAGTTACAGGGTTGGAACAAGGTCTGAAACTTGGGGTTGAACTGATGGTGAAGGGCCATGGAGCTTTGAGCAAAGGTTCCCAGCTCTTTCTGGGAAAACAAAACACAAAAAAGATCTAATACAATTCCACACAATTAATACCAGTAGCCCTTAGAACCTAAATCAGAAACTGTCTTTCCTACTATAGCATTAAAACAGGTAAAAAATAATCAAGTCTTTCACAATAAACATTATTCCATTAAGACTACCCTTTTTCTGAGTCCTTAGATATTCCTCAGCTTTGTGGATGTATGATCTAAGAGCTCCCGACCTAGAATTAAGATTCTCAAGAATGAGTCATTACTTGAAAATAATGTTTTTCCTCTGGTTTTTCTGAACAATGCCAACAACAAAAGTACTCCTCGTGATGCTCTGAACACATTTAGAGGTGAATACATTCTGTTGACCACCAAGGAAGTTTAGAGTACTAGCAAACGTACTCCTCAAACTCCAAAGAATCTTACTTGAGAAGCAGAGTATCATCATTACCTGCCCAAAAGTTCAGGGACAATTTTTATAATAAGAGCTTAACATTTCAAATTTAAAGTCCTTCCTCCAAAAGACTTCAAACTGTCATATTCAAAGTTAATTCTACACATGAGACACTAATATTTAGTCTAATAAGAGGGCAACGAATTTGACATTTATAAACAAATAGCAGTACCAAAACCTAAAAAGTCAGAGTGATCTAAAAATGAGGACAAGAACCCAATAAAAATATCAGAACAGTATTAAAAAAACTGAATATACTCTCTATCCTTTCATGAGAATCTGTGGCTTATGCCCTCTCAGCAAACAATGGAAACCAGAAGAGAAAGTAGTTATAGCCAAAAACATTCAGGAGGGATGAATAAATGGAGACGAAGATCAGCGAATAACTGATAAATGATTTGTCAAGCTAATCTCATATGCAAGTCTTTAGAATTAGGGATATCTGGAACCTTACAAGAAATATCCTGGTTGTATTGGCCTCTGAATCGAGACTGGGGTTTGAGGTGGCGAGAAGATGGATTTGCGTCAACAGCTGAACATGCTGGGGAGGGAAAGAAAATAGCAGAGTGACATGTTATGACGTTGCCATCTCAGGACCCCAGAGAGAGTTTACTAAGATGTTTGCAACTGACGTGCTGCCTATTGCACTAAGGAGGCAAGTTATCTGCAACTTTATCACACCTATTTTGCTTTCTGGAGAACATAGGATCTTCACATAAACTTCTCAGACATGTTCCCTTAAGCAAAATGACAGAACCAGAAGAAGTTAAACCTCAAACCAGAGGGACTAATATTAGAAAGAAGAAAACAATGTCTTCTGGCAGTGAAGGCTCTCAAATTTCAGAATGGATTACTAAGGACTCTTAGAAACCTATAATCCTGAATACTATTAGGGTCTTTGTGCTTTTTTTGCCTGAGCCATAAAGCATGAACTTGATGACCTCTCAAGGTCCTAATGATGTGAAAATCCTATGGTCCATGGTTTCAACAGGTAGCAAGATACCTATCTCTGACATTCATTAATTCATTCATTTATTTTAGTTGGAGTCTCATTCTGTCACCCAGGCTGGAATGCAATGGCACACTCACTGCCTCTGCAGCCTCAACCTGTTGGGCTCAGGTGATCCTTCCACCTAAGCCTTCCGAGTAGGTGAAGCCACAGGTGCATGCCACCATGCTTGCTAATTTTTTGACTTACTGTCGCGATGAGGTCTTGCCAAGTTGCCCAGGCTGGTCTCGAACCCGTGGGCTCAGGCAATTCTCTCACCTCGGCCTCCCAGAGTGCTGGGATTATAGGCATGAGCCACCGTGCCCAGCCTTTTAAAATATTTATTTAGCTGGGCTCGGTGGCTCAGCCTGTAATCCCAGCACTCTGGGAGGCTGAGGTGAGTGAATTGCCTGAGCCCATGGGTTCGTGACCCACCTGGGCAACTTGGCGAGACCTCATCTCTACAATAAATAAAAAAAAAAACTAGCCGGGCGTGGTAGCGCGCGCCTGTAGTTCCAGCTACTTGGACGACTGAGGCAGAAGGATCACCGGAGCCCAGCAGGTCAAGGCTGTGGTGGCCGGGAGCGGCCACTGCACTCCAGTCTGGGCGTTGGAATGAGACTTCAACTCAAAAAAATAAAAATAAATAAATAAATAAATAAATAAAATAAAATATTTATATTAGAGATGAGGTTTTACCAAGTTGCCCAAGACAATTCTCTCACCTCCGCCTCCCAAAGTGCTGAGATTACAGGCATGTTCAATCATGTCCAGCTTATCTCTCACTTTTATAAAGCTACTAATGAACATGATCAAGAGTCTTACCTGCTGCATCTGCTGCTGGAGTCTCTTTCTCTGTGCTGCATCTAGAATCAGAGTCTGATGTATTTTCTCACTCTGGGGCTTAACCTTCTCTACCTCCTGCTGTTGTTTGGCTGAAGATTTCTTCATTTTCAACTGTTCAAATAGCTCCTTCACTGTCCGATGTTGTTCATTCAGCAAGTTGGCCAGTGGTTCCTCAAACCTATCCCCAACAGGGAGATGACTGAATCTGAATATTTCTCTAGGTCCACAGCACATACAGTTCCATCTCATGATGAGCTAAGAGAGCCTACTGTTTTGTTTTTTGGTTTTTGCTTTTTTTGAGTCAGTCTCACTCTGCTGCCCAGGCTGGAGTGCAATGGCACACTCATGGCCACCGCAGTCTCGATCTGCTCTGCTCAGGTGATCCTTCCGCCTCAGTCTTCCAAGTAGCTGGAACTACAGGCACGTGCCACCATGCCCAGCTAATTTTTTGATTTACTGTAGAGATGAGGTTGCCCAGGCTTGTCTGGAACCCACAGGCTCAGGCAATTCTCTCACCTCGGATTCCAAAATTGCTGGGATTATAGGCGTGATCCACTACGACTGGTCTGAGCCTACTGTTAATTGCCAAATCCCAATTTAGCCAACAGTCAAACTCCCAGCCTTATCCACAAATTTTCCCAAAGATGTCAGTATAGATTCAAATAAGATGATTCTGTACTATCCACCACCTCATTCTTATATAATTACTCCTCCAAGTAATATACAAATGAAGAAGAAATTGAACAAAACTCTAGGAACATCTGGATAGCAAAGCAGCCAAGGAGCTAGTGGGAACTCATCATTTGTGTTTGTTCTCTAATTTAGCAGGTCAAGCTTGTCCTGTTTTCTATTCATTCGGGTTGCTCTGCCTTTCTTTCTTAAGAAGTCAAAGACCTTCCAGCATAGAGCAAGAAAGGAATATCCTAAAATACATAGTAGTTTAGATGAAAGTTAGATTAAGAGCCAGGCTCAGTGGCTCAGCCTGTAATCCCAGCACTTTGGGAGGTGGAAGTGAGTGGACTGCCTGAGCCCGCAGGTTCGAGATCAGCCTGGGGAACTTGGCAAGACCTTGTCTCTACAATAAATCAAAAATTAGCTGGGCATGGTAGTATGCGCCTGTAGTTCCAGCTACTTGGAAGGCTAAGGCAGGAGGATCACTAGAGTCCAGCAGGTTAATGCTGGGGTGGCCATGAGTGTGTGACTGCACTCTAGCCTGGGTGATGGAGTAAGGTTCCACCTCAAAAAAAAAAAAAAGTTGGCCAGGCTCGGTGGCTCAGCACTTTGGGAGGCTGAGGTGAGTGGATTGCCTGAGTCCGCAGGTTCAAGACCCGCCTGGGTAACTTGACGAGACCTCATCTCTACAATAAATCAAAAATTAGCTGGGCATGATAGCGCGCGCCTGTAGTTCCAGCTACTTGGAAGGCTGAGGCGGAAGGATCGCTGGAGTCCAGCAGTTCAAGGCTGCGGTGGCCGGGAGCGGCCACTGCACTCCAGTCTGGGTGACAGAGTGAGACTCAAACTCAAACTCAAAAAAAAAGGTTAGATTAAATATTACTCTACTGGCTGAGTGTGGTGACTCATGCCTGTAATCCAAGCATATTGGTAGGCTGAGACAGAAGGATTGCTTGAACCCAGAGGTTGGGACCAATCTAGGCAACATAGTGAGACCTCACCTCTACAAAAAAAATCAAAAAATTAGCCAGGCATGGTGGTATGCACCTGTAGTCTCAGCTAGTTGGGAGGCTGAGGTAGAAGGATTGCCTGAGCCCAGGAGTTGGAGGCTGTAGTGTGCTATGATCATGCCACTAAACTTTAGCCTGGACAACACAGTGAAACCCCACCTCAAAAAAATAATAAATAGGCTGGGTGCGGTGACTCAGGCCTGTAATCCCAGCACTTTAAGAGGTTGTGGCAAGAGGATTGCCTGAGCCCAAAGGTTCGAGACCAGCCTGGGCAACTTGGTGAGACCTTCGTCTCTACAGTAAAAAAAAAAAAAAAAAAAAATAGACGGGCGTGGTGGTGCACACAGTAGTTACAGCTACTTGGAAGGCTGAGGCTGAAGGATCACCTGAGTCCAGCAAGTCAAGGCTGTGGGGGTGGTGAGTGTGCCACTGCACTCCAGCCTGGGTGACTGAGTGAGATTCCAACTCAAAAAATAATAACAATAATAATTAGAACACTACTGTCATTCATAAAACATCTTCTTTTAGACCTTTTAAAATTCCTCTTTCAAAAAATGAACAGAAAAAGAAAAAAAAACGGAAAAAGAAAAAAAAAGTCCTCTTCCAAAGTGGGGACCAAAGGAAGGCCCAAATATTACCTGTACAATGACTACTTACGTACCTAACCCTGAGATGTACCCCACATCTTTAAAACAAAAATAAATTCCTCGGCCAGGCACAGTGGCTCAAGTTCATAATCCCAGTACTTTGGGAGGCCAAGGTGAGAGAACTGAGTGAGCCCAGGGGTTTGAGACCAGCCTGGGCAACTTGGTGAGACTGTGTCTCTACAATATATCAAAAAATTAGTCAGGCGTGGTAGCACGTACCTGTAGTCTGGCTACTTGGAAGGCTGAGGCAGAAGGATCACCTGAGCCCAGCGGATCCACGCTGGGTTGGCCATGAGCATGACACTGCACTCCAGCCTGGGTGACAGAGTGAGACTCTGACTAAAAAAAAAAATTCTTCTTCTACATTTCTTTACCCTAACTTCCCACTCCTATCTTCCTCAGAGGCTGTTTCCAGGACTGAAGCAAAAATCCAAATACCCAGCATGTATTGAAGTAAAGGCAGAACAAGGTACTTAAATGATTAAGCACATGCTTATACCCTATGCAACCTGGGTAAGTAACTATGACTAGCTGGTTACTGTATTTCAAGGAATCCCATATAATGGAGCTATAATTAAATTATAACTTTTTTCATAGTCTCTGGGAATGACGTTTATATTTCCTTTTATAGAATTTGCTGCAAGTTTGGACAGCATAGGGTAAAAACCTAAAGACTTTTCTGAGAACTGAAAACTTTTCACCATCTGTACTCCAGAAAAGTAGAAGCATTATAAAGCAGATGATGCAAAAATAGCCTGCACCCAATTTTAATCAGTATCACTTGGAAAGTTGATAAGGTGAGCAGACAACTCACTTTCCCAGGGCTGTTTGTTTTTAACTATCGGTATACTTACAGAACCCAGGACGTTTTATTTAATCAATGATTAAACCAGGTTTGCATTTGCAACTGAAAGAGCAGCAGCAGCCTAAGTACAGTCATGCACCGCATAAGGACATTTCAGTCAGTGATGACCAGCATATAAAGGTGGTCCCCTAAGATTACAATATCATATTTTTACTGTACCTTTTCCTATGTTTAGATATGATTAGATACACAAATACCATCGTGTTTGCCTATAGTATTCAGCACAGAAACATGCTGCACAGGTTTGTAGCCTACTAACAACAGTATATGTGCATATGTGTAGTAGGTGCGTATGTAGTAGGCTGTATCATCTCGGTTTGTGTAAGTATATTCTATGATGTTTGCACAAATGCCAAAATCACCTAATAACACATTTCTCAGAATGTATCTGCATGGCTGAACGATACATGATTGTATATTAATGAATACCAGAAGGTAACTGAATTCAAAGAGGAGTTTTAAACAACTTCTATAACTTCCAAATTTTAAAAAGTTATACACAGAGTTGAGTAGTGGAACCAAAAGATGCTTATGAATCAAATTCCATTATAAGTTCCCAGGACAAATGGTTCCACTCTGCCATACCAGAATTTTATCCTATGAACTACAAGTCGAAATAAGGGGTCAAATACTGACTCTTTGTAACCTTGACATTTTAGGTGTAGTTATACGTGGTATTTGTTGTAATGGAGTAGGACTGGTATTGCTGGTGTTTCCATATTAGTTGGTAGATCTTGTCTTTTTCATTAAATTGGAAGGTCTAGCTTTCAGACGGATCCCAAGTTCTCTACTTACTAATGCTGTTAAATTAAAACACAGGACTAATTAGATAGGCTGTGGGTCTGTTCACTTTGTTTGGTTCCACCTATGGTACAAACTGCATCTAACCTCCAGCCATTCATCAAATGATCGTATGCCGCTACTCACAATGGCTAATAATAGATTAAAATGCAGATGTAAACCCACCACAAAAATAAGGGAAAAAACTAAAGGATCCTCTATCAGGATGGTATAACAGAAGTGCCAGCTTCAAGCAAACAGGTCAGTACATATGTTTCAGATTCCTTGATGCAGGTGCTTCAGGGTTTGCTCAACTAAGGCCTAGATAACTAACAAATTTTCAGTAACATCTAGCACATGTTAATGAAAAATAAGGAGAAAAAAAGAGACATACTGCATATTACAATTCGGGGTAGTTTCATGGCTGGTGCATGGAGTTCTACACACCTCTCCAGAACCACTCACCCGGAGAAGCTGCTATGGATGCCAGCTACTGTTTTTTTCCCTTCCCAAACAGACACAGCTTGGTCTATAGCTGTACTGCCCCATAACAGGGAGACTTTGCACTTGACATCTAACTCTTCGCAAGGCTCTACACCCTTACATCAGTAACAGAAATCAGTTAGGGATGAAAAATTGTTAATTGCAATTTCTGAAATCCTTTTCAGAACTTTTCCTCCATTCAAAGTCTCAAGGTCTTAAGCTAGCCTACCGTAGGGCTTGAGGGGTGTTAAAGTTAGGCCGAGACTCAGCCACACGCTCCTCCTCTTCTGGGCCGTCATCTTCCATGTTGGAGAATCCCATCTCATCTTGGAACTGTGGACAAAGGAAAAGGAGGGTTTCCCAGGGAACAGACCTAGGAAATGCATTCCGGCAGTGAGAAGGCAGAGCAAAGACTATAGACTACTGGACTTTAATAATTCAGACACCCAGAAAGAGCTTGCATTAGAACCTTTCTCACTTCAGGGCTCACACAATCCCACACTTGGGATGACTATTATGTCACAAAAAAGTCTCTCAATCAGGCAACTTGCAATGATAAGGACAAAGCATGAATAACTCAAAATGATCGATCTCTTAAACAGAAATATCCTTCTTTTTCTTTTTTTTGATCCAGAGTCTCACTCTGTCACCCATCTGGAGTGCAGTGGCACACTCACAGACACCAGAGCCTGAATCTGCTGGGCTCAGGTGATCCTTCTGCCTCAGCCTTCCAAGTAGCTGGAATGACAGACGAGCGCCACCATGCCCAGCTAATTTTTTGATTTACTGTAGAGACGAGAAATCCGTGGGCTCAAATCCGTGGGCTCAGGCAATCCTCTTGCCTCCGCCTCTCAAAGTGCTGGGATTACAGGCATGAGCCACAGCAGAAATACCTTTCAAAAGACAAATTTATGAAAAAGGTAACTATGTGAGCTCAGGTTGGTCTAAAACTACTTGACAATCTGTAAGGACACACCAAATGGTAAAAGAGGCCATCAAAATTTTGCAAGTAAAATTTTACAAAGAATAACCTAAATGTGGAGAATTAAGAGCTTACTAGTTAGCAAAATTCTCTGGTCATAATATTCTTTCCTGAGTGGACAAAAGAAGAATTGGCATGGTCAGACTACCCTTCTAGAAAGGAGGATCTCAGGGACCAATTGTCAGATCTTGTTGAAGAATCTACTTTTATTATACCAGTTCTCACTTAAGGATCATTACTCACAGTTTCAAAAAGCTCTTCCATCAGCTCATTTACTTCCTTTTCTGCAAAAAATCCAAACAGAATGTTGTTGGCATAAATTCATTTCATTTTGCAGTAAGGGGGATTTCCATGAAGACAATGTATGTTGTTTTTAGCAAGGCCACTAACAAAATCCTCATATGTATCCTTCATTCATTCACTCAAAAACATTTATTGAACACTATGTTTCAATCCCTGTTCTAGATGTTTGGGATACATGAGAGAACAAGAGAGACAGTTCTAATCTCATGAAACCTAAATTCTAATAGAAAGACGTGCAGAAAATGTGAGCTAGACGATTTTACAATTAGATAAATTCAGAGTTGGTTGGCCTATCCAAACCCACAGAGTACTGAATAGAGTCAAAAGACAAGTCTCCGCCAGGCGTGGTGGTTCCTGTAATCCCAGCACACTGGGAGTTAGAGATGTAGGACTGCCTGAGCTCAGGGGTTTGAGACTAGGTTGGGCAACTTGGCGAGATCTCGTCTCTACAATAAATAAAAAAATTAGCTGGGCATGGTGGCACACACCTGTGGTTCCAGCTTAGAAGGCTAAGGCAGAATGACCACCTAAACCCAGCAGGTCAAGGCTGCAGTGGCCATGAGCGTGCTACTGCACTCCAGCTTGGGTAATAGAGTAAGACTCTGACCAAAAAAAAAAAAAAAAAAAAGACAAGTCTCCAGTGGTATGTCAGAGGACCCTGTCTTTGGATCTGAACTATTCAATAACTTCATCAATGACTTAGATAATTCAGAGAACATATTAACAAATCTATAGATGACATAAAGCTGAAAGGGACTGATAATCCAATTGATGTAAAAATCAAAATTCTGTTTTCTCAAATCAACTAAATAGAACATATGGGGATGCATTTAAAGTTCTATAGTTGGGATTTTTTTTTTTTGAGTTCCAGTCTCGCTCTGTTGCCCAGGCTGGAGTGCAGAGGCATGCTCACGGCCATCACAGCCTCGACCTAGTGGGCTCAGGTGATCTTTTTTTGCCTCAGCCTTCCAAGTAGCTGGAACTACAGTCATGTGCTACCATACTCAGCTAATTTTTGACTTATTGTACAAACGAGGTCTCACCAAGTTGCTCAGGTTGGTCTCGAACCCGTGAGCTCAGGCAATCCATTCACCTCAGCCTCTCAAAGTGCTAGGATTATAGGCTGAGCCACCAAGTCCGGCCCATAGTTAGGATTTTTAAAAATCAGTTTCTCAATTTTGTAAATACCCTTATCAAGAGGTCATAAAAGAGTTAAAATTCATTGCTTGAGGCCAGGAGTAAGGATCATCATCCTAAGTGAACTCACTCAGAAACAGAAAACCAAACAGCATGCTCTCACTCAGATATGGCAGCTAAGATACAGTCACAAAGATGGAAATAATAGACACTTGGGGACACCAATAAGGGGGGAACTGGGGAGGAGGGGTTAAGGTTCAGAGACTGCCTACAGGGCAATATGTCACTATCTGGGGAATGAACCATCTGAGACCCAATTCCCACCACTACAGAGTATGTCCCTGTAACAAACATGTATGTGCACCCCTGAGTCTAAAATTTTTTTTAGGCCAGGTTCAGTGGCTCAGCCTGTAATCCCAGCACCCTGGGAGGCTGAGGTGAGTAGATTGCCTGAGCCCGGGGGTTTGAGACCAGCCAGGCAACTTGGTGAGACCTCATCTCTATAATAAATATTTTTTTAAATGAGCTGGGCATAGTAGCGTGTGCCTTTAGCTCCGGCCACTTGAAAGGCTGAGGCAAAAGGATCACCAGAGCCCAGCAGGTCGATGATGGGGTGGCTGTGAGCATGCCACTGCACTCCAGCTTGGGTGACAGAGTGAGACTCCAATTCAAATAAATAAATAAATAATAAATAAAATAAAACATTTTAAATTAAATTTTAAAAAAGAAAAGAAAAAATAAGATAATAGAGACATAAGAAGCAAGACAAAAATTAAAATTTTACCCAGTTAGGCTGGGCACAGTGGCTCACGCCTATAATCCCAGCACTTGTGAAGTCGAGGTAAGAGGATTGCCTGAGCCCACAGGTTCAAGACCAGCCTGGGCAACTTGGTGAGACCTTGTCTCTACAATAAATTTTTTAAAAATAGCCAGATATGGTGACAGTGCTTGGAGTTCCAGCTACTTGAAAGGTTGAGGCGGAAGGATCCCCTGAGCCCAGCAGGCCAAGGCTGCAGTGTCCATGAGCATGCCACTGCAGTCCAGCCTGGGCAACAGAGTGAGACTCCAAATAAAATATTTAAAAAAATTTTTTTTTACCCAACTTTCATTTGTGATCGCAGAACTCTATGACTAGAAAGAGGGCTCTAATTCAGGCATCTCAAAAAAGTTCACTATTTGACTGCCAAATAGTGCTACCAGTTCTATAGCAACAAACAACATAAAGTTCTTGAGCTCAGAGTCTAGGAGAGAAGACAGATACTAAATAAGTAATTATGAGAGCGATGTGTATATGAAGGACATAAAAAGTGCTTTGTACCAGTAGTACAAAGCCAGAAGATTAATCCTAATTAAGAAAGATCTCCCTGAGAAATTACATGTAAACTGAAGACAGTAATGGTTAGACAAACAGGGAAGACTAGTGGACTCCAGGCTGACAGCTGAACTGAAATGAGATCTGCTTTGCTGCTTCCAGCAGATGTTTCCTTATCAGCATATGACACTGTTGACCATTCCCTCCTTCTCAGAAGACTCTTCCTTGGATTTCTGTGACAGGAGAGTTTCCTGGTTTTCTCATACTTCCCTAGAACCTCCTTCATGGTTTTCTTAAGCCTAAATCCTCAAGTCTTTTCATTCTACACTTTCTCTTTGATTCCTGGTGCTCACCTTTCAATGCATCTCTTAAATTAACTGTCATAATATATCAAAATAAATGGAAGATTTTCATAAAGGAAATGGTACTCTCATCTTAAAAACAAGATAAAAGATGCAACAGAGCAATAAAATAGAATGTAAGTCGTACATAATTCTCTTTGCAGAAATAACTGTAAGCCGGGCTTGGTGACTCAGCCTGTAATCTCGCGCCTTGGGTGGCTGAGGTGAGTGAACTGCCTGAGCCTGCGGGTTCAAGACTCGCCTGGGTAACTTGGTGAGACCTCATCTCTACAAAAAATCAAAAAATTAGCCGGGTGCGGTAGCGCACACCTGTCGTTCCAGCAACTTGGAAGGCTGAGGCAGAAGGATCGCCAGAGCCCAGCAGGTCGAGGCTGCGGTGGCTGGGAGTGGCCACTGCACTCCAGTCTGGGCAACTCAAAAAAACACAAAAAAACAAAAAAAGAAATAACTGTATTATTTAGGTATGTTATAAATACTTTTGGATGCTTATAAAGCTCTCTCCATAACCTGGTCAAGAGCCTGCATCTTACCTTCTCGACTTCTCGACATTGTATATGTTAGTCCAGTACAGGGTCATGCATACAGTCAATATAAATCAATGGTTTCTGAAATATGTTTTCTTGGTTTTGTGGCCCCAAAGGTGGAATTTTTTTTTTTTTTTTTTTTTTTTGCATTGGAGTCTCACTCCATTGCCCAGACTGGAGGGCACTGGCACACTCCCAGCCACTGCAACCTGGACCGGCTGGGCTCCGCCTCAGTCTTTCGAGTAGTCGGAATTACAGGCACGTGCTATCACACCTGGCTAATTTTTGATTTATTGTAGAGATGAGATCTCACCAAGTTGCCTAGGCAGGTCTCAAACCCGCGGGCTCAGGCAATCCACTCACCTCAGCCTCCCAAAGCACAGGATTATAGGCTGAGCCACCGAGCCCGATTGAAGAGTAAGCCACTGGCCTCCCCATCGGGGAATCGAACCCCGTCTCCCACGTGACAGGCGGGTGTACTCACCATTATACTAATGAGGACAACCACGGGATTTTAAAATATATATTCAAATTTAAAGAATTATAGAAATAAATAGGTAAGAAACTTAAATGTCTTAACTTGGATGAGCTGCAAACTTCACCCCCAAAAATCTACACAGTAAACAAAGGCAGATGTAGAGCAGTTAAGAGCAGGACTCAGCTGGGCACAGTAGCTCATGCCTTTGGGAGGCTGAGATAAGAAGATTGTTTGAGTCCAGGAGTTCGAGACCAGCCTAGGCAACTTAGCAAGACCTCTTCTCTACAAAAAATTAAAAAATTAGTCTGGCATGGTGGTACTTGCCTATAGTCCCAGCTACTCGGGAGGCTGAGGCAGAAGGATCACCTGACACCAGAAAATTGAGGCTATAATAAGGATATGATCATGGCACTGCACTCCAGCCTGGGCAACAGAGGCTGAAACCCCCCCCAAAAAAAGAAAAGAAAAGAAAAGAAAGGAAAAAAGCAGGACTTATAATAAACACAGACTCACTGGTGATTCTCACAGCCCGGTCAGTACGGAAATCCTCTGTGTCTGGTTCATCAAGATCTTCCAGGAAATTATACTCTGGATCATCATCGTCATCTGCTTCATCTAGGGAAAAAAATGTTTCAGATACTCATTCCCAACTTTGAAACGCTAGAGAAAATTTAAGACTTTTAACACCATAAGAACTGTTCCAATAAAGCACATTTAAGCTGGGCTCGGTGGCTCAGCCTGTAATCCTGCGCCTTTGGGAGGCTGAGGTGAGTGGATTGCCTGAGCCCGCGGGTTTGAGACCCGCCTTGGCAGCAAGACCTCATCTCTACAATAAATCAAAAAATCAGCAGGGCATGGTAGCGCATGCCTGTAATTCCGGTTACTCAGAAGGTTGAGGCGGAAAGATCGCCGGAGCACAGCAGGTCGAGGCTGCGGTGGCCGGGAGTGGCCACTACGCTCCAGTCTGGGTGACAGAGCGAGACTCCAACTCAAAAAAAAACAAAAAAACAAAACAAAAAAAACACATTTAATCTTAGCTTTTAAAATAAATTTTTTTCTGATCTATCACAAAAACGAAGAACAGAACAGAGCACCACATGTTCTCACTCATAAGAGGACCCTGAGCATTTACCATAATACTATAAGAAAGGGATCGGCAGTAGCGGGATACTGTGGTGGGGGGGGCAGGGTCTGCGTGTGTGCACAACATCAATAAGGGTATCTAACTTTACACCAGGCAAAGTGGGGACCAAAGGGAGGTCCAAATTTTACCTGTTCAATGACCACTTGTATACCTAATCCCGAACTGTACCCCACATCCTTAAAATAAAATTTAAAAATTAAAAAAATAAAATAACTTTTATCCTCAGTGACTTTGCACAAATCATTTCCCAAAGATGACTTGTCTCTTCTTGTCAATAAGCAGGTTCCTTCCTTCTTTTAAACAACTTAAATCTCTAAATAAGCAGCAAAGGCCAGAAAAATGAATATGTAATTTGTTATCAGTAATCTCACTTTGAGTAGTGTATCTCATGAAAATAATAGCTTTTGTAAAAGCTATCTGTACAGAGCCAGGCTCGGTGGCTCAACCTGTATTCCCGTGCTTTGGGAGGCTGAGGTAAGTGGATTGCCTGGGTTCAAGACCCACCTGGGCAACTTGGTAAGACCTCATCTCTATAATAAATCAAAAATTAGCCGGGTGTGGTAGTGCACCTCTGTAGTTCCAGCTACTTGGAAGGCTGAGGCTAAAGGATCATTGGAGCCCAGCAGGTCGAGGCTGCAGTGGTCGGGAGTGGCCACTGCACTCCAGTCTGCTTTTAATTGCAGTGCTTTAGGAGGCTTGAGGCAGGAGGACTTCTTGAAGTCAGGAGTCTGAGAACAGCCTTAGCAACACAGTGAGATCCTATCTTTATAAAAAATTAAAATTAAAAAATAAAATAAGCCAGGCTAGGATGCATGCCTGTAGTCCTATACAATCTGGAGGCTAAGGAAAGAGGATCACTTGAGCCCAAGAGTTTGAGGCTGTAGCAAGCTATGATCGTGCTACTGCACTATAGCCTGTGCAATAGAGTGAGACCCTGTCTCCAAAAAAATTAATAAGAAATAAAACATATGGAATTGTTATAATTTTAAGATAATATTTTTCACCAGACACCTTTAGATCAGGGCTGCCTAATAGAACATTCTGTGATAATAGGAATGATATATATATAAATATATGTGTGTGTGTGTGTGTGTGTGTGTGTGTGTGTGTGTGTGTGTATTGTACAATATACTAGCCACATGTGACTATTGAGAACTTGAAACATGCCTGGTGCAACTGAGGAACTGCATTAAAAAAAAAAAAGACCAGCCAGGCTCGGTGGCTCAGCCTGTAATCCCATGCCTTTGGGAGGTTGAGGTGAGTGAATTGCCTGAGCCCGCGGGTTCGAGACCCGCCTGGGCAGCGAGACCTCATCTCTACAATAAATAAAAAAATCAGCTGGGCATGGTAGCGCATGCCTGTAATTCCGGCTACTCGGAAGGCTGAGACGGAAGGATCGCCGGAGCCCAGCAGGTCGAGGCTGCGGTGGCTGGGAGCGGCCAATGCACTCCAGTCTGGGCATCAGAGTGAGACTCCAACTCAAAAAAAAAAACCAAACAAACAAACAAAAGACCAAAATGAGAATGCCTAAATTTCCTACTACTATACACATTAAACAGAAGAGATCTCTATGTATTACAATGGAAAAATATCTCAATTACATTGCTAAGTGAAAAAGGCAAATGGCAGATGCAGAACAGTATGTACAGTATAGTTCTTTTTGTGGAAAATAGTTCATATTTGAGATAAGTATGTGCTTAACCGAATATACAGAGAACAGCTAGAAAGAAATACATGAAAATATTACAAATATTGAATAATAGAACTCTTTCCACTGTGTACCCTTTTTTTTTTTTTGAGTTAAAGGTCTCACTGTTGCCCAGGCTGGAGTGCCATGGCAAGCTCACGGTCACCGCAGCCTCGACCTGCTGGGCTCAGGTGATTCTTCTGCCTCAGCCTTCCAAGTAGCTGGAACCACAGGCATCACACTCGGCTAATTTTTTGATTTATTGTAGAGACACGGTCTTGCCAAATTGCCCAGACTAGTCTCGAATCTCTGGGCTCAGGCAGTCCTCTCACCTCTGCCTCCTAAAGTGCTGGGATTACAGGTGTAAACCACCACGCCCAGCCTAGGTACCCTTTAACTGTTCATAATATAAGGGGAACCATGAAAATCATAATTATCTTTTGGAGGGTAGGTCCCTTATAGTACACTTGGAATTTGTTCCACCTGATCAAACGGCCAACCAAGGTTTTTATCTAAAAGTTTGGAGAAGTTTGCATCCCAATTTGCGGAAGAAACATCCCAAGTTGTGGCAAACAGGTGACAGTTTCTCCCACCATGACAACACACCTGCCCATACCCTGCTAAGGGTTCAGCAGCTTTTGACCAAAAATATCACCATCCTTGTGCCCCACCCTCCCTATTCACCCAATCTCACCCTGAGTGATTTTTTTTTTTTTGCTTTCCCAGATTTAAAAAAGTCCTGGCCAGGTTCGGTGGCTCAGCCTGTAATCCCAGCACTATGGGAGGCCGAGCCCAGTGGGTTCAAGACCCACCCAGGCAACTTGGCGAGACCTCATCCCTACAATAAAGCAAAAACTAGCCAGGCATGATAGAGCGCCTGTAGTTCTGGCTACTTGGAATGCTGAGGCAGAAGGATCGCCAGAGCCCAGCGGGTCAACGCTGCAGTGGCCAGGAGTGTGCCACTGCACTCCAGTCTGGGCAACAGAGTAAGACTCCAACCTAAATAAATAAATAAACAAAAATTTAAAAAGTCCTCAAAGGGAAACCTTTTGTCTATATGGAAGAGGTGAAACAAAAAACTGCAGAAGAACAAAACAGCATCAAAATCGACAGGTTCAAAAATTGTTTTGAGCAGTGGAAAAAGCATCTTGATAGGTGTATTGCATCTAACGGAGAGTACTTTGAAGGTGGCTAAAGTTTAAACAAGTAAGAACAAATATACAATTTTTTTATCAATAAATTCCAGGGTTTTTTGGGTTCCTGTCATAAACAAGCATCTTTTGTTAAAAACAAAAATACAAGCCGGGCTCGGTGGCTCAGCCTGTAATCCTGCGCCTTTGGGAGGCTAAGGTGAGTGGATTGCCTGAGCCCACGGGTTCAAGACCCGCCTGGGCAGCAAGACCTCATCTCTACAATAAATCAAAAAATCAGCCGGGCATGGTAGCACATGCCTGTAATTCCGGCTACTTGGAAGGCTGAGGTGGAAGGATCGCCGGAGCCCAGGAGGTCGAGGCTGCGGTGGCCAGGAGCGGCCACTGCACTCCAGTCTGGGCGACAGAGTGAGACTCCAACTCAAAAAAAAAAATACATACACATTATCTTTGATTTACATTTATTGGAAAACTTTTGCTGAGTAACCTTAATCTAGGGCCAGGTGCAGTGGCTCACACCTGTAATACCAGCACTTTGAAAAACTGAGGTGAAAGGATTGCTTGAGCAGGAGTTTGTGACCAGTCTAGTCAACATAGTAAGATTCCATCTCAACAAAAAAATTAAATTTAAAAATTAGCTGGATGTGGTGGTGCAAGCCTGTAGTCCCAGCTACTTGGTACGTTGAGGAGAGAGGATCGTCTGAGTCCAGGAGTTTAGGACTCTGGTGAGCCGTGATTGTGCCTATGTACTCCAGCCTGGGTGACAGAGAGAGACCCCAACTTAAAAAACAAAAACAAAAACATCAAACCTAATCTAACTTGATAATTCTTTACATAACATTTATACTCAGCTTATACTATATTAATTTGCATTATTTATACATAGGTATTTATTTATTTATTTATTTATTTATTGAGTTGGAGTCTCACTCTGTCGCCCAGACTGGAGTGCAGTGGCCGCTCCCGGGCACCGCAGCCTTGACTTGCTGGGCTCCGGCAATCCTTCCGCCTCAGCCTTCCAAGTAGCCAGAATTACAGGCATGTGCTACCACGCCCGGCTGATTTTTTGATTTATTGTAGAGATGAGGTCTCGCTGTCCAGGCGGGTCTCGAACCCACGGGCTCAGGCAATCCACCCACCTCAGCCCTCCAATGGCGCGGGATTACAGGCTGAGCCACCGAGCCCGGCTAGGCCCTGAAATCTACACCTTTAATAAACACCATCCAACACATATCCTTACACTCTTCAATTCTGATTCAAGTTCTAGGATACAAATTACGAGAAACAGTGCCCTAGACTCCCAAAGACCTGACAACCAAATCTGTCTGGTCTTTCTTCCCTAATAGCTACTAGCTCAGCTCCTTGAACCACAGTGATGAAAATGAGGGCACCAAAGCTGCAGCTATCAGTAAAGCTATGAGAACCTTTCTTACTGTCAATATTTTGTCAAAGACAAAAAGCACAGCTTGTTATAAAAAGTCATATCCTGGGCCAGGCACAGAGGCTCACACCTATAATCCTAGCACTTTGGGAAATCAAGGTAGGAGAATTGCTTTTGCTCCATCTCTACAAAAAAATGCAAACATTGGCCAGTGTGTGAGGTGCTGCCAAACACAGGACTCCATACTGAAACAATCTCTCTAGCAATCCCATGCAACATCAAGAGAGTGATCAAGCCAAGATAATCTGAATTGTTCCCTAGATTTTTCAGCTAGAACTAGTAGGGGAGAATTCTGATGTGTAGACAAAGCAAGAGGTAATCATGGAGTGCTTATGACCATAGTTGTAGTCTTGTAGAAAAAAGTAAGTTTGAGAATGAAGCTGAGTGACAAAAGTAAGCAAAATAGAAAGGGAAGAAAGATTTTAGCAATGCCTCAGTGGGACTGCATGCTTTTCTGCACTTCCCAAAGCATGGTTTCACTGGACCTCAGGAAGATAGAGTTAGGAATCTTTCACATGTATCATAAAGATCCTTATCATAATTTTTGTTTTGATGAATCAGTGAACCCTCACAAAACCGTATATAAAATTATGTGTGTGTGTGTGCATTTCAGGGGATTCAAACCTTAACATTCAAAATCTGCTCTTTTTTTTTTTTCTATAAAAATAACTAACTTGGGGAGGGGGGCAAAAAAAAAAAATCTAACTCTCTTATTCATTTTTTCTTTTCTTTTTTTTTTGAGTTGGAGTCTTACTCTGTCACCTAGGCTGGAGTGCAGTGCACACTCACAGCCACCACAGCCTCGACCTGCTGGACTCCGGAGATCCTTCCGCCTGAGCCTTCCAAGTAGTTGGAACTACAGGCATGCGCTACCATGCCCAGCTAATTTGTTTTTTTGAGTTGGAGTCTCACTCTGTCACCCAGACTGGAGTGTAGTGGCTGCTCCCAGCCACCGCAGCCTTGACCTGCTGGGTTCTGGCGATCCTTCTGCCTCAGCCTTCCAAGTAGCTGGAACTACAGGCGTGAGCTACCACGCCCGGCTAATTTTTAATTTTTATTGTAGAGATGAGGTCTCACCAACTTGCCCTGGCGGGTCGCGAACCCGCAGGCTCAGGTAATCCACTCATCTCAGCCTCCCAAAGACGCGGGATTACAGGCTGAGCCACCGAGCCCGGCTCCAGCTAATTTTTTAATTTATTGTAGGTCAAGGTCTTGCCAAGTTGCCCAGGCTGGTCTCGAACCCCTGGACTCAGGCAATCCTCTCTCCTTGACCTCCCAAAATGCTAAGATTACAGGCTTGAGCCACCGGCCCGGCTTATTCTTTTTTTATAGAGAGAAATCATAGCTGAAAGCATTCAAAATTTTGGGATTCAAAAGAGTCCCAAAAAGATTATTTAAACAAAAGGAAAAACAGGGCTGAGCTTGGTGGTGCATGTCTGTAATCCCAGTACTCTGGGAAGCCGAGGCAAGTGGATCACTAGTAAGGCCTAGTCTCTACCCGCCCCCCCCCAAAAAAAGATAGGTGGGCACGGCAGCATGCACCTGGTCCCAGCTACTTGGAAGGCTGAGGTGGAAGATCACTTGAGCCCAGGAGGTTGAGACTGAAGTGAGCTATGATCATACTACTGCACTCCAGCCTGGGCAACACAGAGACCCTATCTCAAAAAATAAAGATAAAATAAAAATTTTAAAACATACAAAAATAACAACAAAAAAAGAAAAAGAAATAAGAAAAATGATACAAGATACATTATCAATTAAATAAAATTAAATCAATTCACACAAAACACCCCACTCTTTAAGATTCCAACAAATGGCCGGGCTCAGTGGCTCAGCTGCAATCCCACGCCTTTGGGAGGCTGAGGTGAGTGGAATGCCTGGGCCCGCGGGTTCAAGACCCGCCTGGGCAGCAAGACCTCATCTCTCCAATAAATCAAAAAATCAGCCGGGCGTGGTAGCGCATGCCTATAATTCCGGCTACTTGGAAGGCTGAGGCAGAAGGATCGCCGGAACCCAGCAGGTCGAGGATGCGGTGGCCGGGAACGGCCACTGCACTCCAGTCTGGGCGACAGAGTGAGACTCCAACTCAAAAAAAAAAAATTAAAAATAAGATTCCAACTAATGAAAATTTTACCACAGAGATAATGGACAGAATAGATAATACACTGTAAACAAAAACTTGCCTTCATTTCCCACATCATCATTCATGAGTCCCCCTAGCCACATCTTCCAGTCTTCATCATCTGCTGTATTGGGGTCATACATATCTGGGGTGATGTCTGGAGCTTGGAGCTCTGCTTCTAGTTGACCCAAGGGAACATCTTTCAGGGGCATCTTGGAGCGCGTTCGAAAAGCAATGAGACTGTCATCCATGGGCTAGCCAAAGGAGAAAGAAAAAAAAAGTAACAGAGTGAATAATGTTTCTAAATTCTCTAATAAGCCTGATCATCCCCCTGTCCTTCTCAGCTTAAATCACAAGATCGCTCCTCTTAACAATTTGAGTTTATTATTGTTTGTTTCTCTGAGAAACTTTAAGAAAAATGACACCAGCCGGGCACAGTGGCTCACGCCTATAATTCCAGCACTTTGGAAGGCAGAGGCGAGAGGACTGCCTGAGCCCGTGGGTTGAAGACCAGCCTGGGAAACATGGCAAGACTTCGTCTCTACAATAAATCAAAAAATTAGCTGGGTGTGGTGGCGCATGCCTGTAGTTCCAGCTACTTGGAAGGCTGAGGCAGAAGGATTGCCTGAGTCCAGCAGGTCGAAGCTGCAGTGGTCATGAACAGCGTACCACTGTACTCCAGCCTGGGTGACAGAGTGAGACTCCAACTCAAAAAGAAAACAGAAAAAAAGAAAAATGACACCAGTTTGAAACCAACATTTCAAAAATATTTATAAGAGCTTTACTGATTCATGACCCGCCTGGGCAACTTAGTGAGACCTCATCTCTACAATAAATCAAAAATTAGCTGGGCGTGGAAGCGCGCGCCTGTAATTCCAGCTACTTGGAAAGCTGAGGCGGAAGGATCGCCGGAGCCTAGCAGGTCGAGGCTTCAGTGGCCAGGAGCAGAAACTGCACTCCAGTCTGGGCAACAGAGTGAGACTCCAACTCAAAAAAAAAAAAAAAAAGAGCTTTACTGAGACATCATTCATATACCATTAAAATTCACCCATGTAAAGTGCATAACTGAGTGAATTTTAGTACATTCAGAGTTATGCAACCATCACCACTATCTAATTCCAGAACATTTTATTATCCCAAAAAGAAATCCCAGCCAGGTGCAGTGGCTCATGCTTGTATTGTCAGCACTTTGAGAGGCAGAGGCGAAAGGACTGCCAGAGCCCAGGAGTTCAAGACCAGCTTGGGCAATTTAACAAGACCTTGTGACTACAATAGTTAAAAAAATAGCAAGGCGCAGTGGTACCTGCCTGTAGTTCCAGCTACTTGAAGGCTGAGGCAGAAGGATCACCTGAGGTCGCAGTGGCCATAGGTGTGACACTACACACCAGTCTGGGTGACAGAGTGAAACTCCTACTCAAAAAAAAAAAAAAAAAAGCCAGGCTCGGTGGCTCAGCCTGTAATCCCGCGCCTCTGGGAGGCTGAGGTGAGTGGATTGCCTGAGCCTGCGGGTTCAAGACCCGCCTGGGCAGCAAGACCTCATCTCTACAATAAATCAAAAATTAGCCGGGTGTGGTAGCGAGCGCCTGTAATTCCGGCTACTCGGAAGGCTGAGGCGGAAGGATCGCCGGAGCCCAGCAGGTTGAGGCCGCGGTAGCCGGGAGCGGCCACTGCACTCCAGTCTGGGCGACAGAGTGAGACTCCAACTCAAAAAAAAAAAACCCACCAAGTGCAGTGGCTCAAGCCTGTAATCCCAGCACTTTGAGAGGCAGAAGTGAGAGGATTGTCTGAGCTCAGGGGTTCAAGATCAGCCTGAGCAACATGGTGAGACCTCATATCTACAATAAATAAATTTTTTTAAAAAACAGCCAGGAGCGGGGGCACATGCCTGTGGTTCCAGCTACTTGGAAGCTGAGGTGGAAGGATCACCTGAATCCAGCAAGTCGAGGCTGCAGTGGCTGTGAGCATGCCACTGCACTCCAGCCTGGCAACAGAATGAGACTCTGACTCAAAAAAAAAAAAAGAAAGAAAAAAGAAACCCCATACCCATTAACAGTCCTTCCCCTTTTCCTCTCCTCCCAGTCCCTCCTGTTAACCATTAAGCTACTTCCGTCTCTATGGATCTGCTTCTGCTGGACATTTCATATAAATGGAATCACACAATGTATGGTCTATCTCTGGCTGCTTTCACTTAACAAAATACATCCAAAGCTCATCCTTGTTGTAGCAGTAATTCCTTTTTATTGTCAATAATATAATATTCCCTTGTATGGATATACAACATTTTTTATTTTTTGAGTTGGAGTCTCACTCTGTCACCCAGAGTGGAGTGCAGTGGCCGCTCCTGGCCACCGCAGCCTCCACCTGCTGGGCTCCGGCGATCCTTCGGCCTCAGCCTTCCAAGTAGCTGGAACTACAGGCGCGCACTACCACTCCC